ATAGGAGGCGGGCAATACCCCCACTTTGTGGGGGGGCCGGTTCAAGCTCTACCAAATTTCCAAACGACTCTTCGCCACCACCCACACCCAGCTTCCCGCCCTATGACGTTCGGACACTTCACTTCGTGGCATGCGGACGACCGTGGCTACTATTCAGGGCCCCGCGGCCGACGACGACGGCGTGCGCGCGCGAAGAAAAAACGAATGTGTCCCGCATGGTATTATTTGACAGGGATGATGGCCCTGGCAGGTGCGCAACCGTTGTTGCAGAAGTTCGAAAAAGTTGCTCGCAAAAGCCCGTTTGACAGAAATGTTTAAAAAGTGTTGGGTTTCCTACGAATCCGCAAGAGCGCGCGGGATGAGATTTTGACAATTTTTTGTTGAAAAACCATTGGTTTTTTTATGTTTTTATGTTAAAATCGCTGCGAACACTAAGGTTTTGGAAGGATTTCGTCTTGCGCGCGCGAATGTCCACTTTACCTTATTTGTTGCAAGGGATTCTTGAAGTTTGGTTATGTTAGAACAAGAAATGTCCACTTTAGCTTATTTTTTGCAAGGGAAAACCGATCGTAACAACACAACCGGATCCGGACTCCCCCGTTTTGCCTGAGACTTCCTCACGAAAATGATGAAAATGAGGCTGCGGCCTAGGCGCGGCGGGGGGGTCGTGCACCAGGGGTCCCAACAATAACTATTCTTTTGAAGTAATAATGTTTTTTCAACAACAACACCAACAACAACAACAACAATCACTTTACCCGAACGCTCAGTGTTCTCACCAGGGCCAGGGTTTTCATGCGACGCCAGCCAATACCCCCACTTTGTGGGGGGGCAGTGCATGCTCTACCAAATATCCACACGACTCTTCGCCACCACCCACACCCAGCTTCCCGCCCTATGACGTTCGGACACTTCACTTCGTGGCCTGCGGACGACCGTGGCTACTACACTGCGTGGAGTACACACCCACAGAAGTTGTTAAGCCTACGTTCGTACACCCACAGAAGTTGTTAAGCCTTGTTAACCCACAGAAGTTGTTAAGCCTTCCACAGAACATCCGAGGGCGCAACCTATGGCGCAACCGCAAGGGATTGTGGCCCCTGGCAGGCGCGCGAACCCCGTTGCAAGAGCGTGCGAAAGTAGCTCGCGCGAGCTCATGTAACATAAATGTTGGGAAACCATTGTTTTTTTTTTAGGATTCGGACAGCGCGCGCGGGTGGAAATTTTGAAAAGTCGTGCAGCTGTTTTTCGAGGACCTACGGTGCGCTTCGTGTGATTTTATGATGCGCGGTGCTAAAATTCTTAAGAAGCCCAATGGTTTTTGGAGATTTCGGCGTGCGCGCGCGAAGAAAAAACGAATGTGTCCCGCATGGTATTATTTGACAGGGATGATGGCCCTGGCAGGTGCGCAACCGTTGTCGCAGAAGTTCGAAAAGTTGCTCGCAAAAGCCCGTTTGACAGAAATGTTTAAAAAGTGTTGGGTTTCCTACGAATCCGCAAGAGCGCGCGGGATGAAATTTCGACACTTTTTTTTTTTTTTGAAAAACCATTATTTTTTGATGTTTTTATGTTAAAATCGCTACGAAAACTAAGGTTTTGGAAGGATTTCGTCTTGCGCGCGCGATTGTCCACTTTACCTTATTTTGTGCAAGGGATTCTTGAAGTTTGGTTATGTTCCACTTTACCTTATTTTTTGCAAGGGATTCTTGAAATTTGATTATATTAGAACAAGAATTGTCATTTTATAGTGTTTTTTGCAAGGGAAAACGGATTACAACAAAACAACCGGATCTTGATGACATCGTATTACCTGAGGCTTCCTCACGAAAATGATGAAAATGTAGATGCGGCCTAGGCGGCGCAGGGGGGCCGTGCACCAGGGGTCCCAAACATTAAGGTTCGAATGCGCGGGGGACACGCCTAACAGCAACAACAACAACATTCACTTTACCCGAACGCTCAGTGTTCTCACCAGTGCCAGGGTTTTCACAGGAGGCGGGCAATACCCCCACTTTGTGGGGGGGCCGGTTCAAGCTCTACCAAATTTCCAAACGACTCTTCGCCACCACCCACACCCAGCTTCCCGCCCTATGACGTTCGGAAACTTCACTTCGTGGCATGCGGATGACCGTGGCTACTACACTGGCGTGGAGACGCACCCACAAGATGTTGTTTTGCCTAACGTTCGTTCACATCCCAGAATGTGTTAAGCCTTGTTAACCCACAGAAGGTTGATGTTTAAGCCTTCCATCTAGAAACATCTTGTCGCCCTGGCAGGCAGCTGCGAACCCGTTGCAAGAGCCGTGGAAGTAGCTCGCTGCGAGCTAATTGTACATAATGTTGGAATACATTGGTTTTTTTAGGATTCGGACAGCGCGCGCGGGTAGAAATTTTGAAAAGTCATGCAGGTGTTTTTCGAGGACCTACGGTGCGATTCGTGTGATTTTATGATGCGCGGTGCTAAAATTCTTAAGAAGCCCAATGGTTTTTGGAGATTTCGGCGTGCGCGCGCGAAGAAAAAACGAAGGTGTCCCGCATGGTATTATTTGACAGGGATGATGGCCCTGGCAGGTGCGCAACCGTTGTCGCAGAAGTTCGAAAAAGTTGCTCGCAAAAGCCCGTTTGACAGAAATGTTTAAAAAGTGTTGGTTTTCATACGAATCCGCAAGAGCGCGCGGGATGAGTTTTTGACATTTTTTTGTTGAAAAACCATTGGTTTTTTGATGTTTTTATGTTGAAATCGTTCCGAACACTAAGCTTTTGGAAGGATTTCGTCTTGCGCGCGCGAATGTCCACTTTACCTTATTTTTTGCAAAGGATTCTTGAAATTTGATTCTATTAGAACAAGAAATGTCATTTTATAGTGTTTTTTGCAAGGGAAAGCGGGGGGGAACAAAACAACCGGATCTTGATCACATCGATTTACCTGAGGCTTCCTCACGAAAATGATGAAAATGTAGCTGCGGCCTAGGCGGCGCAGGGGGGCCGTGCACCAGGGGCCCCAACAATAATTATTCTTTAGAATTAATAATGTTACAACAACAACACGACGACGACGACGACGACGACGACGACGACAACACAAACAACAACAGCAATCATTTAAGATTGCTGCGCCCTTATCTGCTCGAGTGTCCAATAACGCGTATTTCCCAAACCCTCGATACCCGCCCTCTCCGTCTTCGATCGAACCCCTTTTGGGGGGTATACCTTTCTTCCCTGCAGGCCGGGCCCGGCAAGCGGCGGGGCGGCCGCGGACCGTCGGCCTGGCCAGCGGCAGCGCTGATCGGCGGGGCGGCCGCGGACCGTCGACCCGACCCCCAGAGGAACGGACAGCGGACCGACCACGACGAGGACGACGACGACGACGACGACGACGACGACGACGGCGACGACGACGACGACGACGACGACGACGGCGAGAGCGAGAGCGAGAACGACAGCAGGGCCACTAAGGGCACGAAGTAGGCCACGAAGGGCGACAGCGGGGACACGAAGGGAATGCGTATGGGGCCACGAAGAGCGCGAACGAGCGGGGGCCACGAAATGGCAGATATTGCGGGGCCACAAAGGCAACGATGGGGCCACTGAGGTAACAATTGGGCCACGTAGAACAGTGAGGCACACACGGCGACAGCGGGGCCATGAAGGGCATGCCACATGGGGCCAAAACGGGCGCGAACGAGCGGGGGCCACGAAGGGCATACGTATATTCGGCCGCGGAGGGCAAGAACGGGCACTGAGGGCAGCAACGGGGCCACGAAGGGCAGCGAGGGGGCCACGAAGGGCGACAGCGGGGCCACGAAGGGCATGCATATGGGGCAACCACGGGCGCGAACGAGCGGAGGCCACGAAGGGCATACATATATGGGGCCACGAAGGGCATACGTATATTCGGCCGCGGAGGGCAAGAACGGGGCCACTGAGGGCTGCAGCGGGGCCACGAAGGGCAGCGAGGGGGCCACGAGGGGCTGCAACGGGGCCACGAAGGGCAGCGGGGGGGCCACGAAGGGCTGCAACGGAGCCACGAAGGCCTGCGACGGGGCCACGAAGGGCAGCGAGGGGGCCACGAAGGGCAGCGACGGGGCCACGAAACAAAGCGAGGGGGCCACGAAGGGCTGCAGCGGGGCCACGAAGGGCAGCGAGGGGGCCACGAGGGGCTGCAACGGGGCCACGAAGGGCAGCGAGGGGGCCACGAAGGGCTGCAGCGGGGCCACGAAAGAAAGCGAGGGGGCCACGAAGGGCTGCAACGGGGTCACGAAGGGCAGCGAGATCCGAGGTAATCTGTAAGGGAATCCTAAGCGTGAGCGCGACTCCTGGGTGCCTGGGTGTCGGGAGCGCGGCGCTTGAGTAAATTGCATGAAAGTCCAACGCAAGGGCGTTATTCTATTGCAAATTGCAAGCAAGTCTCCAGCGAAAGCGCGACTCCAGAGCGCCGGGAAAGCGATGCCTGAATAAATTGTAAGGACGTCCCAAGCGAGAGCGCGATTCCTGAATGAAATGCGAGGAAGTCTCGGGCGGGAGCGGGGGTCCTGGCTAAATTGTAAGGAAGTCTCAAGCGGGAGCCGTTGTTGTTGTAGTCCGGGGGGCAGGGGGCCAGTTTGAGCAGGAAGACTTTCTTTGACAAGAAACAAAGTGCGAGACCCCGGGGGGCACTTCAATCGAAAAAAATAAATGTGCACCGGTGGGGGGGTCAACAATAATTATTCTTCAAAAATGAGAACTCAACAACAACAACAACAACAACAACAACAACAACAACAACAACAACAACAACAACAACAGCAACAGCAGCAGCAGCAGCAACAACAATAATACCAACAACAACAACAACATGCACACACACAACTCGCTCTCTCTCTCTCTCTGTCACGCACGAAAGCGCAGCACAACAATCCAAAGCTGCAACGGACACCGTGCCTAAGACAGACACAGAATAGCCTGCCCTTCGCACGCGCAGTAGCAGCATATCGGCCAGACACCCATCATCGGAGCGGCTCCTGGGTGCCAACATCGCCCCATCAGTTCACAGCGAAACGTAGCGCTCACTGGCCGCACTGCTCCACCCAACGAGCTGCTGTGATGATCAGGCCAACGTCGGCGGCATGGCTCGCGCAGCAGCCTGGCAGCCCCTCTCGGGACTCCTTGAACGCTTGAGCAGGAGTCACGCGCAAAACAGAAGCGCACAGAACAAGAGCCGTGTACAGCACTACACGCGCGCCTAGAATCCCACACCAAGCCTCCGGGCGCAGGTGGCTTCAGAAGCATATGTTTCCAACATCCTTCCCTGTCGGGGAGGGGTTCATCTCTGTATCTCTGCCCCTTGTTTCTCATCGCCCCCTCCTCCACTCATTCGGCCGCCAACCAGGAACAATGAGCTCCCCCATCATCTCTGTCAGAAAACCAAATTAGCCTGGCGGAGACGCCAACACTTTGGTAAACAAACGGCGGTTACAAACAGGACCGCTCCACGCCATGCGGATGCAGCCACTGGGGCCTTCGGTGGAACTCCCTACGGGGCCACGAAACATAGACCAGACTCCACAGCCCGGACGCCGCACGGTGACTTCAACAATACAGCAGCAGCAGCTGCTGTTCCTATATCATCCGCCACCCCGCGTGCGCAATAGCGGAGGTGTTCGAATGCCTGGAAGCTGTCTACGGGACGCCCCCCTCCTGCACGCACCCCGTCGCATGCACGACCATCCCCCCTTCCCTCGTGAAGAAAAACTGGCGCGACCACGCCATGACACGACGGACCCTGCCATGGCGGCCTCCGGCGGAGCTCCTTCATGAGGCGGCCGGAAGGGGGCGGGGCACCGTGCGGACCCTGCCGCGGGTCCCCTCGGTGGAGTTCCCGATGGGGCCAGGAAGACGTGCGAGGGGTGTGCCGAAACAGGATGGGGCACCAGGCGGACCCTGCCAGTGGTCCCTTCGCTGGATTGCCTGATGGGTGCCGAGATGGGGCGGGCCGCCGTGCGGACCCTGCCAGTGGAGCCCTCGGCGGCTCCCTGTGGGGCCGCCGAAACTTGTGGGGGGGCACGTCTCAGTGCGGCGGGGCGCCATGCGGGCCCTGCCATTGGAGCCTTCGGTGGAGCCTCTCGTGGGGCCACGAAGCGCGTGAGCGGTGTGCAGAACTGGGGCAAGGCGGCGGCATGCGGACCCTGCCGCTGGGGCCACAGGAGAGCTGGGAAGGATCAAAAGGACGAGGAAAGGGGGGAGGAGGGAGGAAGGAGGGAGGAGGGAGGAGGGAGGAGGGAGAGGAAGGAAGGAAGGAAGGGAGGGAGGGAGGGAGAGAGGAAGGAAGGAAGAAGGAGACTCGCGGCAATGCGAATTCAAAACGAAGGCCAAACACACAGGAGGGTTGGGAATAAGAACCCCGTATAAACAAAACCGAGGTGGGGAACAATGGATCCGCGCTCCTGAGGCCACAATCCCTGGTAAAAGCCCGATGGGTCCGCGCCCCCGAGGCAGTTATCCTTGGGAAAACAATGCGTCCGTACTCCCGACGCCACGACCCCTTGTAAACAGTAGCCTAGCGAAGAACCCGACCCTTTTGCGAACACGTGGACGGCTGCAAACAGGACCGCTGGAGACACATAAAGTGCGAGATTGTGCGGGGCCACCAGGCGGACCCTGCCACTGGGGCATTCGGTGGAGCCTCCTACGGTGCCACGATACTTGCGAGGGGTGTGCCAAGATGGGACGAGCCGCCACGCGGACCCTGCCACTGCGGCCATGCGTGGAGCTCCCTAGGGTTCACGAAATTTGTGCGCGGTAAGCCAAAATGAACGGGGAAACGACATGCGGTCCCTGCCACTGGGGCCTTCGGTAGAGCTCCCTATGACGCCACGGAACGTGTGAGCGTTCTGAAGACGTGGGCGGGGTGGCACGATGCGGACACTGCCGCTGAGGCCTTCGGTGAAGCCCCGTTTATTGGGCGACCAGACGTGTGATGGGTGGCGCTGAGCGGACAGTGCCACTGCTGCTGTCGGTGGAGCTCCCGCGGTGCCACGAAACGTATCCGGAGCGTGGCGCGAAGCGGCGCCCTGCGGACCCCTGCCGCTTCGTCGGTGGAGCTCCACTATGGGGTCACGAAAAACGTGTGACGGGTATGCCGAGATTGGCGGGTGGCGCCGTCTGGCCCTGCCGCTGACGCCCTCGGTGAAGCTCCCTGGAGGGCCACGAAACGAGCACGGGGTGTGAAGAAAAAAGGGGCGGGGTGGCGTCGTGCGGACCCTTCCGCTCGGGCCTTCGGTGGAGCTCCCTGTGGGGCTTCGAAGCGTGAGGGGTGTGCCACAATATGCATGGTGGCGCCATGCGGACCCCGCCACTGCGGCCTTCGGTGGAGCTCCCAGGGGAGCCACGAAACGTAAGTGTGATGTTCATGGGGCGGAGGCGCCATGCGGACCCTGACACTGCGGCCTTCGGTGGAGCTCCTCTGGGGGAGTCGCGGAACGTATGAGAGATGTGCATGGGGCAGGGTGGCGCCATGCGGAACCTGCCACTGCGGCCTTCGGTGGAGCTCCCCTTGGGGCCGCGAAACTTGGCGGCGCGCACAAGGGGGTAGGGGGAGGGGGGAAGGCTTCTTAGAAGGAGGCTGCTTCTTAGAAGGCGCCGGCCTTACATCTACAAAGAAGGCCCGCGCCTTCTGAGAAGCAGGGGCGCTTCTAAGAGGCCTTCCCCCCTCCCCCCTCCCCCATACCCCCTCCTGCGCGTGGCCAGGAAGCGTGCGAGGAGTGCCGAAAACGGCACGCGAAGAGAAGAGGGTGGGCGAGGAAGATGAGGAGAGGAGGAGGGCGAGCAGGCGAGGGGCAGCGCGGCGCCGTGGACTCAGAACGAGCACCCGACACACGGGAGGAGCGGAAAAAAAAACAACGGGTTCGCGCTCTCGGGCTTCCAGGACGGCCGAGGCAGGCCACCGAGGCCGCCGAGGTGGCCCAAGATGCTTCCAAGACGGTAGCCTCAAGACGGCCCAAGATGCATCCAAGAGGGCTCAAGAGGGCTCAAGAGGGCCGCAGGAGGACCCCTAACTGGGTCCGAAGAAGCCGAAGCAATTGATTCTTGGCCGGAGATGGCCCCAAGATGTCCAAAGATGACCTCAAGACGGCCGCAAAGGCCCCCAGGACGGCCCAAGAGAGCTCCAAGAGGACCCTCGGCAGGGCCCAGAGACGCCAACATCGCCGACGTTCCTGGAGTGCTCGAAAACCATCCGCGTTCTAGCCTTGCCGGGCTTCCCTCTACTCACGACGACCCACAAAGCCCCTACATGACTTAAGAGGCCTCCATGACAACCTCAGACGGCCCAGCCCTCAGGGCGGTGCAGTGCGCAACTGGAAGCTGGCAGTGACGGCTTGGAGCGGCTGCCGAAGGCATCCTGCGACAGCCTTTTTCTTTTCCCTGCTCACGCGCCGTCCGTTGCGAGTCACTCTCGCTCGCGCGCTCGTCTCGAGCCCTTCAGCCCTGGCTCTTGTGGCCAAGACTGAAAAAAGAGAAAAAAAACCTGAGATGGCAGAGGCTGTCACGTGTGGACAAGGGTTCCCAGATAGCGCGCTGGTCTGCATGGTGGCCTGGCCTCTGCCACCAAGCTGGGCATACCTAAAGACATCACGCCACAGCGCCCAGCACCACGGCCAGCAGGGCCGCAGCGCTCAGAGAAGCAGGGGAGACGCTCAGCGAGAGCTCCATGGTGGTGCTCACGGTTGTCTCCGTGATACTCGTCCGCCGACCCGCGTTCGCCGGGGGTGAATAGGCGTGTGAGGTGATCGGCTGTGCCCCTCTACCTGTTTTCCCCCCCCCCCCGGCGAAGCCCTGAGTCCTGGCTGAAGGGGAGCGACAAGAGGGGGGAGTGGGCGATGGCCCAAGGTAACCATTACGTGGCCTCAGACAGCGCCTGAGACAACTCAGCGCAGCCTGGAGATGGCACCAACATGGAACGGAGATGAGCTCCAGATGCCTCCAGGAGTATCCGAGAAGCGCCACAGAGCCCCCAAAATACCCAAGAAGCCCCTACCCAAGATGGCCGGCTTAACGGTGCCTGGACAAAAAGTGCCCACACCTACGGCGTGAAAGCAACCTGAGGTAACAGCCACAACCGCATGGCGCAGATGACTCGCACTCTCTTCCAAAACCCAACGTTGAAGAGTCCATGTATCGTCCCTCACGCGTTGCCTCGCGCCCAAACCCGTCAACTGTGGCCAGGGCATTAGGAGCAATCGATACTGCATTGATGTACTTTGTAATCGGCTGTCTTGGAACGATGGAAGTGGGCATTTTTTGTCTGGGCACCGTAGTTCAAAAGCCTTTTCATGTGCTTATGACGTTGACGGACGCTGATTTCAATGTGGACGCAATGTGTGCGCGTCTCGCGCAAAACCTCGAACGCAAATAGGAGCGGGAGGGGAAGGTCGGAGGAGTATACAGGATTGGGAATAAGAGCGTCGGACTCCGCAGATGGGCGGATGAATAAACTGGAGTCGAGTGGAGTGGAGTGGGGAACATCTGGCAGGAGTGGAGAGAAGTGCGAACTATGGTGAAGAGGAAAGTGAAGTGCGAAGGAATGGGAAAGAGTCCATAAGGACTGCGGAGTCTGTAGAAGTGCGGAGGGGCGTTGAGGAGGGGGGAGCGCGTGGGAGGGTATGGAAAGGGCAAGAGTGCGGATGAGTGGGAATGAGGGCAGGGTGTTCCAGTTGGCGGCGGAGTGGGTAAGAGCAAATGAAGAGAGCGGAGAAGTCTGGAGAAGTGGGGAGGAGTAGTGGGACGAGGGAGCATGGTGTACAGTTTCTGCTGTGCAAATCGGCCCTTGTATCCAAATTCTTGGTGGGAACATCAGTCGCGAGAGAAATCGCTGCTCGCAGTGATGGTCGTATCGGCACAGTGCCTCACCCTGGAGCCAAAGAAGTACGATATCAAAATGGAAGGGCATCACAGTCTGGAAACCGAGCCCCCCGGGTTCCCAGGTTTTGCTGAAATGCCGACATGCTGTTCCGGCGCGCTGGCTCCCCCGTCATCGGC